ATCTTACAAGTTAATGTTTAGTAAAAGAAGCCAAATATAAAAATATATATGCTATGTCATTCCATTTATATAAAGTTCAAAACCAGGCAAAACTAATCTATGGTATTTGAGGTCAGGATGGGGGTAGTGATTGGATGGGGAAATGAGGGCAGTCATTGGGGTGCTGGGGCATTTCATTTATCAACCAGGTTGTGGTGACACCAGTGTGTTCACTCTGTGATAATCCATTGAACTAGATGTTTATGACCAGAGTACTTTTCAATGAAAAGAGTTTTATTTTAAGTATATTTTTGGTCTATTGGCGCTCTGCTGTCAAATTACAAAAAAAGAGTAGTGCTCTCTGATTTTTTAGAATTTCTCAGAGCCAAGAAAAGTTACCAAGTACAGAAAATGAGACAATTTTTAATGATCCTACAAATTTAAAAGGTCTGCACACTTAAATACAGCATTTCAAATGGTGAAATTTTGTGATGTAAAACGATTGTATATTTGCCCTCTGGCTTCAATGTCTTTTTATTAGAATGAGGTATAGAGGGCTATGGGAAGCTTTTACCAAGAATAATGAATATGATTAAGCAAAAACTACTGAAGACGAATGTATATAACCTTACATTAAATTTTATAAAGAGCGTTAAAAAAGTAAGTCACTGTTTTTATATCCTACATTCTATTCACAGCTAACCTTTGACCTTCTTAATTGTCACTTTTAGGCATCGTTCTGTCTCAAGAAGGAAATTGGATCCTACAGATACTCACTTTAACTAACAGGAAGAAATTGCAAATGAGTTTGATGGAAAGCATTGTATTTTTAGTGATAGGCAGTACTATAAACACCCTAAAAAATTCCAGGTGTGGTAGAGTTGATTCCAATTCATCATGACCCTATGTGTTTCTAAGTGAAACTGGGCTCCATAGGGTTTTCAAGGCTATGACCTTTCAGAAGCAGATCACGAGGACTTTATTTTGAAGCATCTCTGGGTGGATTTGAACCACCAACCTTTTGGTTGGTAGTCAAGTGCTTAACCATCTGCCAGGGGATCTGGTAATACTATACAGATAAGGAGAATTGATATTTTTATATGTGTAAATTCTTGGTTCTCTAAATTCACTGCATATTACATATACATTACACTATTTTTGTGGTTAATTCCTGCTATGGTCCTTTAAATCTTTTCCCATAAAGCTGTCCTTGAAAAAACTTTTTTAAAATAATGTTTTATTGTGTTTTCAGTCAAAGCTTACATAGCAAAATAGGTTCCCATCTGACGATTTCTACACAAATTGTTTAGTGACACTAGTTACATTTTTCACAATGTGTCAACATTCTTTTCAATTGCGTTCTTGTTTTTCTGTTTCCAGGGCTCTAGTTTCCCTGCCCCCATATCTTCTCATCTTTGCTTTAGAGTAATTGTTGACCTTTTGGGCTCTTAAGATGTTTTTTAAATGAAGCACCATACTCACAGGTAATATCCTTTATTTTGTTTGTCAATCTGTTATTTTGCTAAAAGGTGACCTCGGGGGATAGTTTTAGTTCAAGGTTTAAAGACCATCTCAGAGCGATAGTCTCAGGGAGTCCTCTAGTCTCAACTGGTCCAGTAAGGTCAAAATTTTAAGAATTTGACTTCTGTTCCACATTTTTCTCCCGTTCTATCAGGGTCCATCTATTGTAGTCCTGATCAGAACCCTTAAAAACCTTTTAAAGTCAATTCTTCATCAACTTTCTTCATTAGAAATAAAATTCAGTGTTGGAATATGACTTTGTACTAATTCAGAGAAAAGTTCAGATTTAAAATTATATTAATCCAATATAAATTATCTTTCTTGGAGTGAAAAAAAATTGACATATGGACAAAAGAACTCAGAAATAATTGAAGAATTGGTCTAATTTAACTAGTTACTAAGGGTTACCAGTTTACATGCTAACTTTTAGGATTTCCTAAGATCCAAGATTTTAGTGTCACACGGCTGGTTGACCACATGTATTCCTCTCCTTGATTAAGAGCTGGCAATCACCAAACAATCAGAAACAATACAAAAGTCAATCAGCAAGAGAACTAATAAATCATGGAAAATTAAATGGAATACTATACAGCAATAAAAATGAATGAATTGAAGCTACACAAAAAATTGAAGCAGGAATGAATCTCACAAAACTTCTAAACCACCAGCAGCTCCTTTATGAGTTTCCAACTAAGCGCACCACTTTCCAAAGGCTGCCAATCCCCTACTAAGGACTTGAATGATCAATATGATTTCATGTATAATTTCAAATAAAAAAAAAGAGAAGCAATTCTCCAAAAAAAAAAAATTACATCTAATTTTTGTGTAGGTAAAAGAGCAACACAATTTAATAGTCTATATATCATCACTAATAAGCACAAAAAACAGAACAAAAGACAATGTTACAAGATTCAGAGAGATCCCTCATGCTACTGAAAGAGCTGCTTTCAACATGAACCTGTAATCATTATGTGACCTCCACTGAGATTCAGAAAAGTAAATTGATGTCACTGAAATATCAAAGAAATGCCTAGGCAATGTTCTAGATACTTAATAATAAAGATATATTAGATCCATCACTGTAGTACAGTTGTTTAAATCAGGGGCTTTTGGTTCCATGAGATATATCCAAGGAGGTTAACAAAAACAGCATGATCAGGGAATATTTGCTTAGTATGTGTTAGCTCCAGGTCTTGTTTCAAACAATACAAAGCTTAGACTTTGAGGTCCAAAGCAAAGAAACAAACAGTACAAAAAATACAATTCAAAACGTAAGATAACCACGTCATCAAAAAGTTTCGAAACTACTGGTTTGAAAAATTCTCTTAAAATTAATTGGAACTGAAACCAATATTAGAAGCAGATTAAAGCAAGCACAACACAAGGATGCATAAATGTCACTCCAAAATTCATAAGCCACTTTTTAGTAACATATCAGTATATCACTGCAAAAATGCTTTGCTCTGCAAAACAGACAACACTCATCTCACCTGATTTCATTTTCATACTGTGGGGACAGTCTACCTGAATTCTGGTAAAAGCTTTTGAGGAAAGAGGGGGCAGTGAAGGAAGGGACAGAGGAGGAAGTGTGAAGACTTGGAAGACTGGAGGAAGAATTACTCTCCTTGTGTATGCGTCGAGCTGATGGAAGAGTGCTGAGTACAGAAAATACAGCAAATTTGTCTTAATTTATAGTTCGGCAAAATCTTCATTCACTATGAAAAAGCATATAAACAGGTTCTTGCTATTAATTTAATCTATCTTTGAAAGGCTCAGGGCTGGATCTTATTTGGGAAAGAAAAAAGTAGCATGTACTTCTCTACTTAGATGACCACAGCCTAGTTTCACTCTTTCACAAATTGAACTCCTAATCTATGCAGCATTTCTAACCATATGTTTGTCTCTACGAAATTTTTAACAATTTTATGACAAAAAGTTGTTTGTTTTTACATGCAAAAGGCACTTCAAGGAAAAAAAAAATAGGAAAGCACAAATAATTACCGGAAACAAGTTCCAGAAGGAAAAGGTGATTATCAGTAGTTCAAAGACTTAACTATTTTAAAGATATAAACCTTCCAAAGAATTCAAGAATCACACATCTGGTTGTCAGAAATCATTATAATTCTGTTAGCTTAAAAAACATTAATGTCCATGTTCTTTCCTGAAAGCTGATGAACTGTGCTGCTATAACTTTGTCCAGAGTCCTTTTTTTAAGAAGAATCCTTTCCTAGCAAGTTTTTACAATAATGCAAATAGCATCTTCTTACATTGATAGAAACTGTTTGAACCAATATATTATAAAATGCATTTGGTAGAGAAGAAAAAATAGAGAAGAATAGGGATATTATTTATAGGCTAAAATAACTGATGTCTTAAATTACTGAAAATAATTTTGAAATTACTGAAAATAATTTTCCTGGGAAAGATGAGATTTATTGCGTTGGGTAAATATAAATGCAGTGATCATAAAAAAATATTTCTATATATATGAATACTTAATCATGTTCACAAAAGGAAGTCTAAGGAATACTTAATTCTGTTGATTTACTTTCTTTTTATATATCCTAAAGTATCTTTTTATCAAATCGTTCAGAAAACAGCTGAGGATAAAATTATGTCAGTAAAGGAAATTCTGGGACATTTGATTTGATAACAATTGATGTAGAAATTAGCCTTCTCTTTTTACTTAGAGTTCCATTTTTTCTCCAATTGGCATTCGTATCCGAATCATGTTTCCTATATTAAACTCACAGATAAGGAGGAAAAACAAAATTAGTTACTGGATATTAAGTTCTGATTTGTACTACACAGTAAGAAGGATAATCATGCTATAATTCCAGGTTTACCCTTTTTTACTATTTCTCACTAAATCTCAAATAATTTTGTTACATTATTTTTCATACAACATGGAAGATAATTTCTAAAGGACATTTCCTGTCAATGATCATATGCATGTTTCCTTATTGGTATCACTTTATTCTAGAAAAAATTTTTTGATGATTTTCACATTTTGCTTTTACTGTGTAATAAAATATAGCCAAATATCATCCCCCATATGAAGTTAATTTAGGTGATTTTTCAACCCTGATATTGTAAGCTAATTATTTAGGCTAACAGGAAGCTCCACTGTTAAGTTACTTTAGAATTTGCTGACTTTGTTTCTTTATAGCCATCATCATCAAGAAGACACTGACTAACTAGTGTTGTCAGCAGGTTTTCAGACAAAATAATTGCATGACAGCTCGTTTTTTTGTTTTCTATTTTCTGGAAAAAAAAAATGGGGGAGTTCCATCAAAAATACTTTAATTCTTCTCTTCAGGTGTGCCTAAAATTTGGCGCATTTCCAAGTAACTAAGGTTTTTATAATTTACTTTTATGGTCTTTCTAAGTACTAAATGTTGGTTAGAGCACAGAGTCACAATAAATCTTTACTCCGCGATGACCAAAAGAGAGCGACAGGACAATTTTATTTCACATTCTGGAAAAAGGCTCAGACTCACCTGCACTGTTCGCTGGAACTCTGTCTCAGAAGAGGGGAGCACACACCATGCACCCTCCCATCCTGTAGATTCAGCTTTCTCTTTGTGCTTGAAGGTGGGTGGCTGAATGTGTGTGCCCGTCTTCGGAACTGTGGGGAGTCAGAATCCTCTTCAGGGAAGGTGTGCCAAGCTGGGGACAGTGGGGAGGCTGGTGGTGTTCCTGGTGGGGAGTCTCCTGGGGAGTAGTCCTGGAAAGCAAGCAGAAGTGAGGTCTTCCTTTCCTGCCAAGGATCATGGCAGACCTGCTGAAACACACAGCTCAAAAGTGACAGGGGCCTCTTCTTCCTCCTGAGTCATGACAAAACTTCTTTTTTTTTTTTTTACTCAATCCATGCTAAAGGCTAATCAGTATCACCACAAGCCATAACCCAGTTCTTCTGATAAGCAGCTGTAAGACAGCATCCGTAAAGATAGGCCAGAAAGAGAAAGGGGTGATTCTTTCCCCCGACACTTTGTGGTAAAATGCTATATAGATACTGTACCTCTCACTGTTGCCAGAAATGAAAAGCGTCATGACCAAAAGAAGGTGGAGTCTGTGTTTATGTAGCTACCAATTTCCGTGACATATTGAGTACATGCTTCCTGTACTATCAAAACAATATTACACTGCCTGAGTGTCCCCGTCTCACAGCAAAACCGTCAGGGAAAAAAAAATAAAGCCTGTTAAGTATCTTCCTTCACTGTTGATGTTCCTATCCAACTACATGCTGCCTGAGGTAATTTTTTTTTTTTAAGATGCAAAAAACAGGAAATGAATGAAAAGTGAGCTATGCTGGAATGCATCTGATATTGCATGAGTAGGCATAATAAATCTTTCCATTTAGACAGATGTTCTGTTTATACTTTCCAGAACAGACAGCATTTTAGAAATGTTTAGCTTGATGAACATGGGTTAGAATCAAAGCTGAACTAAGTCTTCAATTCCATCAACAGAAAATTTAATAAAGACATTTTAATGTTTTTCAATTTTTTTAAAAAATGAGTTGCATACGCCTTAGATGTTTTCTCTCAGAACAAAGAAACAGGAAACCAAACCTACTGAGTATTGTCTATGAGATAATGAACAGCCTAAGGTTATAGTTAAAAAGGTAAAAAATGGGGGAGCGAGGGGAATATGGGGAGACAGCAAAAGAAAAACAGATCACTGTATAAGTACAGATATCACTTGGCTCCTTTTTATAAGGTTTTGAGCTGCTCAAATACTGTCCTCCAAAGCATAAGAGCTCCAAACAGTAAAAAGCCCGACAGAGTACAGCTAGCCTGTAAGGCACATGTTCTCTCCCAAAGTAAGAAAGCTTCAGCTGAAAAAGGAACAAGTTGATAATATCCAGAATCTTCAAAAATATTTATTTAAATAACAAAGCCTCAAATATTTATTTTTTAAAAAGCCATGAAAGAATCAAAATAAGATAAGTTAGCATCCATATGACCATATAAGTGGTGGTCTTTGCTAGCGCCCAACTTGTACTAAAAAAGGGAGTTCTGATTAGATACCTTCTCTGAAGCAAGACTGTTGGACCGTTCAAAGCTGTCCATGCTTCCAAGCCGGCCTCGCATTCTGTTAGCTCCCTGAGTGAAGAGAATAAAATTACATCGTTCTTGGGGTTTAGGTTTTTACTTCAAAACTGTGAAAGGCAGTTTCAGGCTGCCTCTTTATGTTAGCATTAAATTGATTCTTTTGCGGCTTACTCTAATTTGTTGGCACTATTAATAGCCAATTACAGCACAGTAAATAGAACTATTCATAATCTATTTCCATTCTTGCTAAATCAGCTATTAGATAACTAGATACTCAGACTAAACCCTTTTAAGTTATTCTGGTTACAAGGTTAAAGCATTATTCATCCACAAGTTCCAGATATTCAGTGAGAGCCCCATTCACTCTGTCTCATACAGATAAACACAAATGTGATTGGTACCACCAAACAAACCAAGAAAAGTTAACAGAATGACCTATGTTCTCTATACAATCTAATTACAAATTCATAATTCATGTCATAGGACTATAATAAGCACAGGTTCAAAAAAAAGGAAAAACTGCTTTTTAAAAATTTATGGATTTTGCTTTATTCAGTCATAATTCAAAACTACTTCAATAAATACTTCACTCTAGAAGACTAGATATCAATCTGTTTTGCTTCGATATTGGTAAATTGGTTCTTTTTTTTTTTTTGGCATGTAATTCTTTGTTTTGGGTTTAACAGTGGTACAAGAAAGAGGGACCTAAGAGATCATCTTGTCTATTCCCCCCATTTTATAAAGGAAGAAACTGAGGCCAAACAAACAAGGAAAAAGGACAGAAAGGCAGGTTGGGTGCCTCATCATGCACGAGGTCGTAAGAGAAAAGCACAGAATGAGGAATTCTACATGACTGTAAAACCTATGAAGAAGTTCTAAAAATGATGACCGGAAATATGAGTCAGGTCAATGTGACAGTGTGATCCTGCAAATAAAATAATGCTCAACATTTGTATAGCACTTAAGTGTGAACGTTTCTCTCCATATATTCTTGGTTGCTGTCTTTTGTTTAGTTGGTTGGTTTTTTTTATGCGAAAGGGTGGGGGAGGATTCAATTTCATTTTAATTTTTAATCTGGGTAATACTTGCACAAAGTTTCAAAAGTCACACTATGCTACCAACCTGAAAATGAAAAGCAGCACTCATCAAGCCCCACTCTCACACCCTGAATCCACATCCCCAAAAGCTAACAGTTAAAATTATTTATATTGACACTTGGGGTTTTTAGCTTATACTGCTATTCCTTAATCTTTCTAATGACTTCCTATTCTAGAAGATAAGATTTTATTTACTATTATTATTTCACTACTCTATACATACTTCTCTCTTCCCCTTTTCTTTCAATATAGTTATCATACAAGTTTGGGTTAATCAATATTTTCTGCTTAGATTATCATGACTTTGTAAATACTGTCTGCAGTTGAGCCACATATTTTACTAAGACTGAATTTTGTATCTTGTACAATTTTATTTTTGTTTTTCATAGAATTAATAACTGCCTCAGCAGTCACTAACTTATTGCCAAACTCTCCAACATCTCAATATGGTCCAACATCCCATAACCCATTAATTACATTTTTTTCTTTTTCTTTGAGCTACCATTGCCGGACCCTCTGTCTTCCTGCCCCGATCTGGACTGGTTGCAACATAAGCCTGCTGTATAGATCTTTCCAGTGTTTTCCTGCACTATTAACCTGGAAATTTCTTTTAGACCTCTCGTATGTTGCAATTTCTGTTTCCTTGTCTTCCTCTTTCTTAGTTTACTTCCTCATTTTGGTGAAGCACATTTTCCAGGTGCTTTATGAAAAAGGGTGACTGGGAAGAAAAAAAAAATTTGTTTTAATTTATATGCCTTTAAATGTCATTATTCTATCTTTATATTACATTAATAATTTGGCTGAGCATGTAATTCTGGCTGGAAACTTTCCTTCAGAATATACAAGCACCGCTCAAACATCTTTTGGTACAGAAGTCTAATGCCATTGTGATTCCTAAGCCTTTGTGTGTGACCTGCTATTCTCTCTGGAACAGGTTCTGAGTTTACTCTTGGGCTTTTGCTGAAATTTCACAATGATGTGCCTTGGTGTGGTTTTTATTTAGTCATTGCATTGTGCACTTACTAAGTCCAGTAAATTTGAAAACTCATGCCCATTAGCTCTGAGAATTTTTATTTTATTATTTCTTTGAAAATTTCATATATATATACACACATATACATATACATACATACATATATAAACACATGTATATATTATATATATATGTATATGTATATACATATATAATATATACACAGACCTCTTTAAAGTATTAGAAAGAAAAAATGTCACTTTGAGGACTAAAGTGCACCTGATCTGAGCCATGGTATTTTCAATTGCATCATATGCATGCAAAAGCTGGACAATGAATAAGGGAGATCAAAGAAGAACTGACCCATTTTAGTTACGGTATTGGCAAAGAATGCTGACTATACCATGGACTGCCAGAAGAATGAACATATCTGTCTTGGAAGAAGTACAGCCAGAATGTTCCTTAGAAGCAAGGATGGCATTCGTCTCACGTACTTCAGACATGTTATCAGGAGGGTCCAATCCTTGGAGAAGGACGTCATGCTTGATAAAGTAGAGTGTTAGTGAAAAAGAGGAAGACCCTCAATGAGATGGATTGACACAGTAGTTACAACAATGGGCTCAAACATAACAATTGTGAGGATGGTACAGGACCAGGCAGCATTTCATTCTGCTGTACATAGAGTCGCTATGAATCGGAACCGACTCGTTGATGGCATCTAATGACAACAAATATATATATATATGTATCTCCCTTCTGGAATTCCTACTATTAGGCTTTCGGCTCTCCAGCTGAGTCCTTTAACTTTTCATGTTTTTCTGCTATTTTCCATTTCGTTCTATTTTCTAAGAGAGTTTTTCAATTCTAGCTTGTAACCCTCCTATTGAACAGTTTAATGTCTACTATCAGAAAGTTTTAAGAGTTCTTTCTTGTTCTCAGTTGACTGTTTTGTATTTATGGTATCCTATCCCTGGTGGCGCAGTGGTTAAGAGGTTGGCTGCTAACCAAAAAATCGGCAGTTCGCATCCACCAGCCGTTTCTCAGAATCCCTACGGGGTGGCTCTACTCTTGTTCAATAGGGTCGCTATGTGTTGGAATCAACTCGATGGCAATAGGTTTGGTTTTTTTGGTTTATTCTTGTTTCACAGAAGCAGTATTTATTCTTATGTATGTATATTAATTATAATTTTCTAACTTTGCTAGCTCCCTACATTTTCTGTTTCCTACACGTTCTTTTCTGATTATTTTGTTCTATCTTTTGTATTTAGAGGATTTTCAAATTTGTAAAGTAAGGCTGGGCTTTTTAACTGGGTCATTGTTTTCTAGAGTGACTAGGCAGGCACCCAGCAGTTTCATTGTGGCACCTTGTTATTATATGCAGGTGTTTTATCTGAGGCGGATGAATTTCTCCAGAGAAGAGCCCTTCAATCTTTTGCATAAGGAGTGGAGGATTAGTGGTGGGTAGAGCATAGGAGAAGAAATGAACATGATCATTCTGTACTACGAAAACTGAGCAGGGTAAGAGGGTTGGCTGGTCTTGATGTTCACTATAGACTCTCACTACTCCTCTTTTCAATACAGTATCTCACCATCGCCTGCTATATCTGGTGTCCCTGAGTCAAACTGAGTTGAAGTCTAAGTAGGTTTGTCTGAGGTATAAACCTACAGTTTCCCTCCATAGTCAAGGGGAGGGGGGGTGTCACCTAGCTGCCCAGAGTGGGGGAGGGGAGTTGGAGGGCTAACTGTGCCTAATTCCTATTTTCAATCAGTCCTCCAGTTTTCAGTTCCACCCGCTCATCCCTGCCTTCTGAAGTACTCGTCACTTTAAACTCTTGAGTTTTAGGGGGGTTCTGTGAAAAATTAGCTCTTTTCAAATGGTATATACTTCCACGATGGAATTTTTCCACTCTGCTAAGCCACTTATCACTCACCTATCCACCTGCTGCCATTTCCTCTCTTGTTCTCTATTTCTTTACAAATTTTTAAAAATCTTTTCTATTCCTTTAGCGTAATTTTAGGGAAGTTTTAAGCGACAGCAGAGATAAATGAATTTGTTCAACCTATCATGTTGTAAACTTTTTCTATAAAGGACCAGATAATAAGTATTTTAGGATTTGCAGAGTGTATATGGTCTCTGTCACACATTTTTCTTTCTTTTTTTTAAACAACTCTTTTGAAATGTAAGCATCATTCTTAGCTTGCAGGTGGCACAAAAACAGGCTGGTGCTAGATTTGGCTCACAGGTCGTTTGCTTACTCCTACTATACACTGGAGTCGCTGGATGGCGCAAATGGTTAACGTGCTTAGCTGCTAACCGAAAGGTTGGTGGTTCAAGTTCACCCAGAGGTGCCTCAGAAGAATGGCATGGCAATCTACTTCTGAAAGATCAGCCATTGAAAACACTATGGGGCACAGTTTTACTCTGACTCATATGGTTGCCATGAGTTAAAGTCAACTCAACGGCAACCAGATTTTTGCTATACACAGTTATTTAATCCTCATGACCAACTGATTATTATTTTTACTTTACTGATAAGGACACAAAGTCTCAGAAAGTTGAAATGATTTGCCCAAATTTACAAAGGTAATGGCAGAGAATAACTCTCAAAAACAGGCCTAACATAACAAAGGTATACATTAATAAAGATTAAAAGAGTGAGGTCTCTCATACCTATAGGCCATCTATTGATATTATAGAAGTTACTTAAAAATAAATTTATAAAATAACAAGATTATTCCTATGTCTTCAAAAAAAATTTTATGATCTCAATGTGCAGCAATTCTGTGTTATGTTTAAAAGCCAAGATGATATCGAGATACACAAATGGAGGTTAGGCAGTGTGGATGCTATGAAGCAATGTTCCATTATATTTAGCCTGAGTGCAAATAAAGATATTAGTTAGACTAGTAAATGATTACTGCTCTAATTCTGACAGCTTCAGAGCTTAATAACAAGAAGGGATGTTAAAAAAAGAGAAAAA